AGACATTAGTTTTGTATCAAGAGAATATTCAAACTTACGAGTTGGCTGTTGTCCAAATAGCTCAATCCAGGTCCATCAATGTCAGAGCCAGACTCGTCTCCACTATCTTCATCACCCAAATCATCCTAGATATTAAGTTTAGTTGTAATGTAAAAGTTCTGGGATGGTCCAACTTCGTGTTTGTTTTAGGTACGTGTTGGTGTTATTTTAATTGATTAATTTGGAAACCTATTACTGTTTTTAATTTTTAGCAATCAGATCCCTTTCTCATCATACAATCGGAGTTTATAAGCTAATCTAGTTGCTACCAAGGTATATGAACATTTACATATTTGATGTGAAGGTAGTAATAGATTCCGCTTTTTAGCAAATTACCTTATCTAATCTAAAAATCTGTCTTAAGCTGTGTCCAGCGATTCCTCTAGCTAATGACTTTCAAAATTCATAATTACGCTATAACACATACTTGTGATGGTGTGAGTCTGCCAAAACTACAAGAAATCTATTTCCATACCTCTCCATCGAGCGAATCATCAACCTCTTCGCCATTTATATCGGCTCCATCGAGAATTTGCAAAGATGGAATTGCTTCGAATACTTTGGATCTTAACGTTATAATATCCACTCAACGAAATACGAATAAATGCTATCAAAAAAAAAATGAAGAAAGCACTCATACCTGTATTCACTTTCTGCCGCCCCTTCTGTTACCGGGTTGTTGAACAGATCCAACTCGGCCAGTTTAAGTTTTTTCAAGGGTGCCAGATCCTCCACTTTTCCAATTCTGCAAATACACATAATGATCAAACCACAACGTTTTATTCTTGAAACTCTGATACAAACTTGTTTGAGGCAAGATTGAGATGAAGCAGTTCCGGACAGTTGTTGGCCACATGCTCAAGCCCACCAGCGATGCTGTTGTCTGAGATATCCAACTTACTCAGCTGTGGCAGCTTTGGAAGGTTCTTGAGGCTTTGCAAGCCAACGTGAACCATACTCAAACTCTGAACAAAAAATTAGTGAATGATACTAGAGATACGGAAGTGTCTATGATCGAAAGCGTAGGTGCTAGCGAATAAGATGATGCCACATTATGCTTTTATCTACATTAAGTTAAGATCTGTACTCTAACCTCTCCTCAACTAAGAAAGAAAATACCTACTTGAAGGTTTATGAGTTTATCGGTGATGCCCTCAATTTCGGCACTTTCGCATCCATCCAGTACAAGATCTTCTACAGTAGCAGGATCGCGATCACGAA